TTCATGAGAATCTAGAAACATCCACTTTACATTTTGCTTTGAATGTTATCGTCGCAGCACCCACATTTAACTCGGACTTTTTTCGTACATGAAAATCTGAATAATCAGAATTCACAATTCTGGAGGCATCGAAATGTTCATCAAATTGTACATCAATTATTTCCGGTGTAACTAAAATAAAAATGAAACGTGAGGGCTTAAATTAGCTCGTCGGAGTTTTTTCCGCAGTATTCAGAAATGTGTCACGTCTCGATTTTTCTAAAATGTAACATGATTCCATTGATAGCGGCTGTAAAAGTTGATCGTGGATCTAAAATGCTTTCGTTTTTTGGATTCTGATAAATTTCGTAGTCCTTCAGGATTAATGATAGCACCACCTTTACGTGTAATTGTCCCAATTTCATACCTAAATTATAAAAATGGAATAAATCTTCATCTGCTCAAATAATTTCGACAGAACTAGATTTATAGGATGTACGAAGAATTTCATACCAATACACATCCTTGGACCAATACCGAATGGCATGTAAGCTTCTGAAATTTGATGTCCCTCTTGAAAACGATCGGGATTGTAAACGTCAGGGTCTTCGAAAAATCTCGGATCTCGCTGCAGTCCATATAGTGATATATAAATAGGTGTTCCCTGTTTTAGGGTGATATTAGTTCCCGGTACCTGCCAAGAAATTTATTAATTTTGAGATAAATTCTTTGAAACGAAATCGTCCAATGTATTATACTGCATTATATTTATACAAAAAGATAGTCTGACGTATAGAGGGATCTATTCATCAATTTTATCATTTGCATGGAGTTATGTAAGCAGTTTCATAGTGACAGATTAGTCCTGTTTCCATTGGAAGATCGTTGAACTGTGTTTGACCATTGTCATTGGCAATGGTAAAGAAGTATCAATGCAAAAACCGCGAGAATGCTCACCTAAACATTTTAAGGGCTAAAGCGTCTCTGAGATCCCTCAGATCTTTAGAGTACGGGAGGAGCTGTTCACTCCTCACCAAAAATCGTAGCAACGTAAACGAAACCGAACCTAATCTTAATTTGATTTTATATCAATATAGTAAACTATATTTATCTAATAAGAAGTGGTGTTCTGTTATTGGAGGAAATCTGGTGAATCCTTCCTTAAACATTCCTAAATGGCGAACTCCCCGTGAGCTCGTATCGAGACTAGTCAGTAAAGGAATTAGGTGGAAAGATGACTTGATTATAGGCGGACGAGAAACCCTCCCACGTTACAGCCGTAATGTTTTATCCATGAGCTGTCCACATATCATAACACGAGACGTAATAAAAAAAATGTAATAATTAAATTGGATAATTAATTCAACTTCTCAAATTCTAATGTAACTTCATGTGTAAGTCTAAGTTATGCAACATAGATTGGCAACACAGAACGTTATACTCCTTTTTCCATCGAGGGTCCCGATATTTTTCTTCAATTTTGATGGAAAGTGTTTCATGCGGGAGGGAAAATAGAAAATTTATTTCTGAACACATCTGCACCGAAAGCTCGCACTTTGGTAATTTTGATGAGCGGGGGAGCAAAGTACTCACTGTACTTCCCGCTTTTGGGTAGAAAGGCGCTCAAAGTCAAGACTTTCCGCCCTTGGACGGACGTCAAGACTTTCCACTCTAGGACAGTAAGTATTCACTCTCCTCTCATTTTGCAGGAAGCAAAACACGAAGTTCCTTTTGCAGGCATGTGGAAATATAGGATGTGCACCTCGGTCGGGAATCCGTGACTATTTACCGCCTTATTGCGATTACCGCCTTTGATGCACAATATACTATGGAATTTTTATTAACAAGTAGTTTCAAATCTCACCTGATAATCTTCTTTGGTAATTCTATCAATGGTAGACACTGGGGGATGCAGTCTCCCACCTTCTGCGATACACTGATCCAAATATTTCATATGATTCATAGCTTCATAACCCCAGCCGTATTCATCAATAGCCGTTAAGACGTCTTTTCTCGCTTGCTCTTGATACTCCACATTCCTTGCCAATTCCATAAGTGTAAATGCTGCAGTTGTCGCACTAGACTCGAAACCCGCGAAAAAAGTTCCTGATTGGAACATAAGATTCTCTCCCTCGAATTCTAAACCGAAAAATACCATTTATATTTTATACCCTGAAGGAAATCTAATGTCTCATTAATTAATTGCGGTGACACGTAGGAATAATAACGTAACAGTCACGGGTTCATTTTTGAAGAAACTCAAAAAGGAAAAAATTTAATACATGAATCAAATTTCAATCAATATTGACGATTACTAATTATAATAGGCGTTTAGAAGCAGGAACAACTCACGACATATATAATGTACTTGGCGAAAAGTATATCGATTTGGAAGCTTGAATCTCGTAAAATGAAAAAGGCACATTTATCCATTTAAAATGATCCTTATAACTGTCCTTCTAAATTAAAAAAAGTTGCAGAGATTGTCTGAGGGTCACTGGATCTCGTGTGATCGCAATGGGTTAAGAAAGTTTTACTCAACTGTATATAGGATTCTGTTCTCCATTTTTTAGTTGCAAGAGGTAATCAATGAAGTCGCCTCTTTTTGAGCCACTCTTCTCGCGTTCTTCAATTGAATTCCAGAATACTTTTCCGACAAATTTGGAATCAAAAAGTATGGTGGATCCGATTTTTTCTACTAGTTCCGGTATGAAGAATACCAACACGAGAGCGACCATTCTTCTAAATCCATGAAAGAACTCGAAAACTAGAACAGATTTTCATGATGGTTACTTGGTCTCAATTGTGACACTCCTACAATACATTGTTCAATTAGCTTGGAGATACTTACTACATTTTGCGAAGTCAGTATCCGGATGATTGAATGAATCCATTGGTGTTCCAAGACCAACACTCGCTATAAGATCAGAGGCAAATTTATAATTTATTTCCTGTCCATCAACAATTTTGCTTCCATCCTCCTCACTTTTTTGGTCTTTCAGATAATCCATCATATTTTTTCCGACGTCGGTCATAAATGGAAACATTTGCTTCAATTTTCCGGGTGTTAAGGCAGGTGTTATTTTCGATCTGAGATACTTCCATGCTGGATTCTTCACTCCGAATAGATTTCTCATACCAATGCTGTCTTTCTGTGGACGTCCAGCGAAATGTCGATCTGAAAAATTCTCAAAATCCTTGACGAGAATTTGTTTCATGATGGTAAGATCTCTCAGCATAATACATGGCTTATGAAATATGTAAAATCCAACAAGCGGTGCGTCTTCCTTTGCGGCACGATAGATGTTTCCCAGATGCGAACCTGGTCCCGTTCGAAATAAAATGGCATCTTTAAAATCACCAAAAACCAAATCGCTATTCGGTATTTGTTTTACACCCTGACGTTTCCAATAACTTAATTTATACTTTGCATAAATCACGAATAAAATGAATAACGGGAGCAAAGTTATTAACATGACGTTAATAGCGTTTACCACACTGGGACTAACTATCGAATCCATGGTTGTTATGCCGCTTGATGTAGAGTTGCTTAAATATATATCGCCATGACTATGGCTTTTTGCTGCAGGGTGCTTACTGCTGGAATCGACAATTATACACCTTGAGCAATTCAAAATCGTAATGATTTATTGATTCGTTCTGTTATCAATCCATTGGTCACGATTCGGTAAATGACTGCCTAATTGTATGTGATCATGTCCCTGGGAAGATAATATCCCAACTTAGTCGTCACAAATCACTAATTTTCACGATCTACAGTTAATGAATATATCCGCGCATTAGTAAATATTTTTTTTTTTCTTATTGTCTCACGACAATAATCTTAACGATCATTTTATACTTCCCTCACCTTTTCTATCTAGTTATTTTGACTGATCACGCAGTTAATTTTCTGAAACACGGTGTATCTAGAGATAATTATAATATCCCAATCGCAGCGATAGATTCTACCATAATCATCTGGTATCATATTGACAATAGTGTTATGCCCCAGATTTTGGTCAGTTAGGTTACTGTTAAATATTTGGAAATCCAGCATTCTCAGAGCGACACTCGCCAGCATAACTGGATTATGCTGACCAAGTAATGGCACACAAACAATTATCTATTAAGAGGCTGTTTGGGTGTGCAGAAGGCAGATCCAAATCGGACCCTGACGTGTATTAGTCGTAAACTTCCATCAGTCAGATGACATAATTGATGGATCAAACGAACTTACCTGTAAATAAAGTTCGATCGCAATTATATGAAGGACCTCGTTCGAAGAGATTACAGTTGTAATGCATCTCGTCGCCATTAGGTGTCACAACATTTTAGAGTAGAATATGAAGAAGGATCCAAACCCATCCCCCATCACCTTGACATCCCGGCAACTCCTCAAGTTTTTAGAGTATTTGTCAAGAAAAATTGTAAGTAATGGGGAGAGGGGAAGGGTTAGAATGTAGTCTCTTCGAACGAGGCCCTTCATATAGTTGGGATCGAACTTCACTTACAGGTAAGTTCGTTTGATCGATCAATTATACTTTGACCTCGTTATCTCCGAGATTACAGGTGTAGTTGTTTAGAGTACAATTTTTCTCTCTAGTTTTTATTTTATGGATTACAATAACTCGGAACAATGAACTGAACTCTTGCCTCATTACTAGTGACAGGTGCTAAAGTAAAAATATTCTCAAGTAATAATATCCTTAACCCTTAACCCTTAAGAACGAAGGATTGCCTCGACAAAACTTGACTCAGTCTGAATGATCGGATGGTTATAAATTTTTGCGAACATTTCCAAACGGTGCGACCATCCGGCTGTTCTCCTAATCATATCTAAGCTAATTCCTTTCTTAAAGGCTGCTGACGTCGATGCATGCCTTATTGAGTGAGCAGTAATAATTGATATGTCAATTTCGCTCTTGCCTAGCGTGTTCTTTATCCACCTACTAATAGTATGACTTCCCACATTGGCATAACGTTTTTTGGTTGAAATGAATAGATTTTCTGTCTGCCCTTTCTAACCATGAGTTACAAGCATGTATCACTCTATAACAGTTAATGCACATAATTCAGGTCTTTCCCGAAATCTGGGAAGTATTAACACTGGTTGGTTTTGGCCTGGTCTTGACGTTTTAATAATCTCTGGTATTCTTATTTCTATTCCAGCTTCTGTTCTAGTCTTATTATTAATCCTAATCATTGCAATTTTCTGGGCTTTATGCCCTGTTGCTAAGGCTATCATAGTAGTCGTCTTTTCTGTTAATACATCAATTGATAAGTCCTCCAAAGGTACTAAGCTATCTAGATAATTAAGAACTGTAGACACCTCCCAAGTGGAATCTCGGAGAATGAAGCCGAAGTATAATTAAAGTAATAAACTCTCATATCTAAATATTTTCTTACTAATTTTAAGACACACACGTGAAAAGTGGTAAGCAAAATCGAAACAGATTAGAAGAAAATTTCAAGGTAGATATCAAGTCTATTCCGAAATTATAATATAGAGTGATGATTCTTAATTAAATTTTACATTAGCTCAATCCACTATCTGAAATTTTAATAATCGACAGTTTATGGCAGAAAATGAATTCTCTTTATATAAATGCAGACTTCGTTTCATGCACTAAAATTAATTGAATGTTGTTGTGGAATAAAATTGAGGATGATACCTTGTAATCGCTAATGTTTGATATTTTTAATAGCATTTTGACTCACTATGATCCAAAAAGTCGAAATTATTTTCCAAAGAAATTTCATATTTCATATAATACGATTGGCCCTAAGCTCCCTGATGGATCTGTACCTATTCTGACAATATTTTTTTAGACAAGAAGAAAAATGGCAATATCTCCTAGACGAATCATCCGATCCAGCATCCGGCCCATTCTCATTATGAAATATTGTTGTCGTAAGGGGAAAATTTGTGTCGAAAACATGTGGAAAATTGTGTAGGAACACATATATATTTCGACTGATATATGTAGAGCACATTGAGACAAACGTTTAAAAAAATGAAATTGGTTGGATTGTTTCTGAGATATTTGAAAAAACCTTTCAAAAACAATCATCGATATCTCGAAAGCTACTCGACCACTGATGGGGCTGAGTTTAGTACAGATTAGTCCATATCAGGTTCTATGAACGAACGATTTCAGATTTTTTTTGGAATCAATCCATCCGTTTATTCTTCCCCTTTCCTAAAAGTTGCCCATTATGTGACCATACATGGTTCTCAAACTTCCTAGTTTCATGTTTCAGACAGTTCGACATAATTTTCAGGCAGAGTTAGAAAATCGAAAAATCGAAAGATTGCCATGTTTCCATCCGGAAACAAAATCATTAAAAAAAAAATCATAAAAAGAAGAAATTTTAAATAATTATTCCACAAGCCATATAAATATCTTTCGATTGCGTCGTCAGCAGTTTGAGAGAAATTGACCCTAAGAGCAAGGAGAAAAAAAATAGCCAAAAAAAATGTTCAATGTTTTTTTTTATAGAGCTGCGGTACTAATTTATTACGAAATCTAATCTGTTTCAAGTTATATCAAGATCATTCGATTGCATTATCAATGGCCTTGAATACATCATTAGTTTGAGAGACATTTTTAACAAGTACTTGCGGTCACCAACACCTACGTGCGTCATTTTCAATATAAAAGAATCGGGAAGTGTTCGAAAGACCTTGAACGACGTTGAGGTATAGTAAAATTTTGATTTCGAATTTTTGT